TTTTTTGCAGTTTTTGGCCAGGGCTAAGTTTGAACCTGCCACCTCCAGCATATGGGGCCAGCACCCTACCCCTTTGAGCCACAGGTGCTGCCCATATTTATTTTTTAATTGTGCAAATAATCTACAGTTACCTAGTCTTCATGATTAGCGTAATGCACGTAGTTTAAATCAGCATCGTTATTGGAGACCTTGATTTTAGACCTGGCTCAATCACTTGTAAACTATGTGACATTAAGAAAGTTACCTGAACTCAGAGGGAAGTTGGAGGGGGCGAGGGGATGGACGTTTTGCAGAGGCGGGAGGGCATGAGGTGGACCTCACTTAATGTACACATTGCGAGGGGGTATGACATGCCCCCTGGGTGAGGGGCTCTTCTACAAGTGGGACTTTCCCTGGAAGTGAGAACAATGTAACCTAAAAACTGTACCCTCATTTTAATTTGAGAAAATAAAAAAAAAAACCTTAAAAATAAAGTTACCTGAACTCTGCATAGCATACATGTCCACAAAATTATTTTAAAAATTACTATATATAATTGGTGGGACCACACCTACAATGCATCGTACAAGGGTCCATGTGAAACTTACTAAATGTAGAATATAAATGTCTTAACACAAAAACTAAGAAAATGCCATGAAGGCTATGTTAACCAGTTTTATAAAAATATTACAAATTGTATAGAAAACCAGCACATTGTACCCCATGACTTCATTAATGTACCCAGCTATGATTTAATAAAAAAAGGAAAAAAAAATTACTATGTAGATTTTTTTCATAAAGCTTTACATTTAAACATTAAACGGGGCTCACAGGAAGTGTTTCCATTAAACCCAATAGAAATCTCTCTCCTTTAGCAGAATTAAACTTGACTAGATTTTTGGAGTACATCTTCCCAAATATTATTGAGTTTCTTTTTTAAACACTTTAAAATTTTTAACTATTATCGGTTAGTGTATGGAAAAATATTGTTAGATAGAATGAATGGTATTTGAAGGTTTTTTGGGTTTTTTTGCAGAGATTGCTATTTATTTATTTATTTGTTCTTAGAGGTGTGCCAAAGAATTTAAAAAAAGTGAAGAAACCTATTTTGAAATCTAATTCTATCCACAATCACCAGATGGACACAGACACGTGTTTATAAATCTAGAACACATCATGAAGACTTGTGATAAGATTATTCTTATGCTTTGAACATTGTCAAGACATTTGTCTTATATATTGTCATGATATGTCAATATCTAGGAATAATTTCATTGTTGCTCATATTTTTTACCAAAAGTGTTTTTAAACGAATCCTATAATTTTAAAGCTTGTGTAATGTATAAGGAGGCAGCAATGGAATAAATCTTCACCATTTCATCCTTCTTCTTCTTCATTAAAAATGGTGTTTCTCAAAGTATCGCATTAACTTTGAGAAGGGTATAAAAGTAGACTTCCACACCATCTTTAAAATTTAATTTTAGTTTTCCTTGAAGATAGTTAAAAATTCAGAATTTTTTCATTTAATAACTATAAGAATAAAATGACAGTAGAAGATATTTCACAATTTTCAAATTAATCCAAAGATGAATGCCAACAACAGAAACCAACACAGGAGATGTAAGACGCTGGTAAAATTGATCATGGAGACAAAATTTTAGACTATGTGACTTCAGATGAACGTTTACTAAATGAATTTTTTTAAATCAAGAATGAACGAATGCACAGTACAATTCTATGGATAAAGAAGAAATGTAGCGATCATCTCATAAGACATTCAACAGAAAGATTTTCATTAACTCACACTTTGTGACCAAGATCTGGGCCATTCTGCCTTGTTCAACAAAAATGTGACCAATTTTTTTTCATCTTTTATAAGATTTTTTTTTCTTCAAAATTTACTTGATATATCTTGAAAACTAAACATTGCTGGAGGCAGTGTGAGTCCAAATGAGAATGGAAAGAAAAGATACAGCAGGAAGTTTCCCTTTGTAACAGAATCTCAGGAAAGATACTATCCCTGCCTGGCGTCCCTGTGGGAGAGTAAAGGCCTCACAGGGATGCTCAGTGCTCCTGAGCACACACTGATGAGCTGGCCTAATCAATGGACCAGCTTCCCCACGAGTGCGTCCTCTGGACTTTTTCACTAACTTACTCTAGGCCTAAAAGTCTCCAGCTGTTTGTTTTAACAGAGATGAGTTAGTTTCTCTTCTTTATTGCAATAGTCTTACTCTCACTGCAATATTGCCTTGAATAACGTCTTCCTTGCTCACAAGCGTGCAGTGCAATCTGTCTTTCACATATTTTCACAAGTTGTTTTGCTTGTCACTTTATTCATGTATGTATAAATTATTTCAAAAATGATATCAATTTTTAAAAATAATTTTGGAATAGTGAAAGTTAAGGCTATTCACACTGCCTCTTTCAAAACTTCTCTCCTTGGTTCATGCTCAGGTTGAAAACTTTATTTCCTTTCTACCCCATTAGTCTTGGTCATAACTTCTAAGCCTCCTTTGCAGTCTGTTCTTCCTACACGTGATCCCTAAATAGTGATGTTCCTGAAGGCTCTGTCCTATTTTTAGTTCATATGCTCACTTTGTTTTCTTCTTGGGTAATATCTCCTTTGTTATGCATAAATATACAACTAATATTAGAATATGTATAGAACAATTTTATATAATATATAAAACAATAACATACAATATATGAAACATTGACATAGTGTTTGAACTTTGTTAGTTTATTAGTAGATCTTACCTGACCAAAATCTGCATTTTCACAAACATACGTCTCATAATACTGAGGGAACTCAGGAGCATGGTCATTAATATTAAGAACTTGTACATACACAGGGGCAGATGAGATCTGTTGTGCATTGTCTACAAATTGAACACACAGAATGAAACTTTAAAAAAAATGAATACTGTTTTTAGAAAAAGCACTATAAAATGTCATTAGAAGCCATGTGGTATATTTTTATTTTTCTTGAAAAAAGCTATCTGAGTACAGAATCTCTATATGATTCATGTGTTTATAAAATATACAGCTTAGGAAAAAATGTTGTGCCCTATGAATTCCACTCAAACCGTATTTATTAGTGCCTTTTGTGCATGGGCTAGGAGGGAAAAAATGTAATAAAAGGATACGTATGTGGACAGCTTGCTAAAGTCTATTGAAACAATTGAAACTGTTTATTGAACTATTGAAAGTATTTCCATTAACACTTTTAAACCTAAATGCAGGTTTTATTCTCCTCCCCAACTTTACTGATAAAAACACTGTGAAACCAGTTAGTTTCAAAAATTACAGTCAAATGACTCTCATGAGGTCCAAGTTATAGTGGAAGAAGCAATTTAAGAAGACAGTCATCCGTGGCCTGAACCACTGAAATTCAGGGTGCAGCTTTTAAAAACAAAATGAATGTGGGATAAAGCTGATTTCTGAAACCAAGTTGAAAATGTTATGGTTAATTTTTTAAATGACAAAAATGATGCAAAAAAGCCAAAACTACAACAAAACAATGATCTGGGAAACTATTTGCATAACTGGATGAAATACCAACAATTCTCTTTGTTAAATCTTTAAAATTGCTATGAAAAAGACATGTCAGAAAAAATTAAGTAACTTGAAGTTCACAGAAGATAAAATTCAATGAGCTATCAATTGTAAGATTTCTCAGCCTTTCCATTAGTGACATTTTTGACTGGGTAATTCTTTTATTCTGGACAATTGTCCTGTGTTTTGTAGCAAGCTTAGACACATCCCTAACCTCTACTCACTGAAGGTTGGTAGTGTCACCCTACCCCAGCTATGACAACCCAAACTCTCTCCACACATTGTCAAATGTGCCCGGGGTGGGTGGAGCCACAGTGCCCACAGTGGAGACACTCTGTTCTATCCTAATATTCACAAAAACTCTCATGGGAAGTGAAGACAAGGATGATATAGTCTATATGATTTGTGTAATGTGGGATAATACAGCAACCAGCGATGGCAGAGAGCTGAAAATAGCAGGAGAATAAACAGTTTTGCAACCTACTCAGACAATGAATAATAAAATTTAAACTACACGTGTTTGTGACCCAGTTTGGGAAACCTAGGCTGCAGTCCAGGGTACCAGGATATGAGCACATGATCTAATTATGTTCATTCCAGCATTGTTTCCATCAAGTCCAAGTAATTGGGAATAACTCAGATATACATGCAAAGGGAATAATACACATGCAAAGGAGAATAATGCAACCCAACTATGGCATTTTGGGGTCATACTAAAAATTAATGACTCAATGGAACAAATTTATTATTATTTGAGCTCTAAAACTGGGCTACTTGGGTTTGAATCTTGGTTTTCAATTTCAATTGGTTTTCTGTGAAATAGGAGTGATAGTAGCAATAAAGATTAAATAACATCCGTAAGGAACTTAAAAGAGTACTTAGGCTCTAAGTGAGCCATAAATATCACTATTTCGCTGTATCTGCAAATAAGACAAGTATTTTGTGAAATGATTGATAGAAAAGTAATCAGCTGCATAATAGATCACATATTTTTGTTCATTATTTTAAATTTTTTACTTTTTTTCTTAAAAAATGTTGTGAAAAGATTCAGACAATACAAGGATACTAGGGGAATTCTTTTGTTTGTCTTGATGTTTATATTTATATCTATGTGCTATTTGTAATTGTCTTTTATGAGGATAACACAAATTAAAAATAAAATGCTCACTACTCCAGATTGAAAATAAACAAAAGAATTTTTTTTTTTAACCTTTCTTTTCTGGGTACCTTCAGTCGAAAAAATTTATCTTTGACAGTTCTTTCTCTGTCTGTTTCATTGAAGTATATATAAATCTTTCAAAATTTAAATAAGTCTCTTGCCAGCTTCACAACACCCAGGATTATCTTTAGTACTGGGGACCATTTCTTGAATGTAATCAAGTAATACAACCTCCCTATGTCAGAGTTTCTGTGGGACGACGATAGGAGACTCGTTTCTGCAAAGGTCTTGTTCCAAGTTGTAAAATTACCTCTTTTCATAAACATATGAAAAAATTAGGTTTTAATTGGATAAAGCTAATTAGCCAACACATGTAGTCACTTCAATGAACCAGTGAATTTAAGATGAACTTCATGAGACAAATGGCGTGAAGTCCTCTTGCATGATGGATTGAGAACATCTATGTAATGGGTTATATCTCCTGGACTGTATTAAAAAGAGGAGATTTCTTTCTATTTTGTCAATTGTCCAGCAGATTCCCCAGGATACCTGCCACATTCTAATTAATGTTTGCCAATAACAAATTTCTTTCTAGTTGACCTCTGTGGAGAGGATTTCAGGGTTGAGATGTGATTTTGTTTCTAGTTATATTTTTCTAACAAATATGTGTCACAAGTATGATAGAAATTGAAATTTTCTGTTAATTAAAAATTAAAATTTTCAAATTTGTTACACAGAGTCCATAGCCTTCAGGAAACACATAAACTATAGGAATTACCAGCCTGAGACTCTACTCATTTGTGTTACGTTTAGGATTAAACTAGATGAACAAAACATTTAAAAAGGAAAAGTTATTTCTAAAGATTTTAAGATGAAAGTACTCAAAAAATTGTTTCATTATTTGTTATGGTTTAAACATAGATCACTAAAGAATATCTTTTTGTTTAAATAAGTGAATTGTTAAAAGTGTTGCAGATATAAATATCTGAAGGAAAATTAATAAAATATCATTTAAAGCTTTTATCTTTCCATTTCAAAACTTCACTTAAAATGAAATTCACATTAAAGTTTTGGCATGACTGTAGGAAACATACACACAACTTCACAGCTTCACTTTAAAGGAGTTAGTAGTTTGGGGCGGCACCTGTGGTTCAAGGGAATAGGGCGCCGGCCCCATATGGTGGAGGTGGCGGGTTCAAACCCAGCCCTGGCCAAAAACTGCAACCAGAAAAAAAAAAAAAAAAAAGAGAAGTTAGTAGTTTTATTCACTTTGCTGGCTTACTGATAAATAGTGTTGTGCTTAATTTGGGAAGCTTTCCAGAAAAGAGACTAAGCACAGTGAACTTCATTTGCTGCAAAAACAAATGTTAAAATAGAATTTCTCTTTCCTATAATCAGTATAATTGCTGTGGTGCAAGCTTTACAAGGTAGTTAACATACGCAGTTAGCACTCTTCTAAACAATTGTATGTGTTGCCGTTTTCCACTGACCAGGTGGTTTGTTTATATTACTGTTGAACTTCAAATGCCCAAACAATTATTTTTGGGACAGCATTAATATCTTAGTAGTAAGAAATTGGCACTTACATCTGTTTCTTACAAAGAGCTCAAAAATGGGTTGAATGCTGTAGGTTTTTTTTTAAAAAGGCAAGAATGAAAAATACATAAATAAAAATTTGTTATCCCGAGTTATAAAAGCACTTTTTAGCCAATTTTCCCTTAAATAAAAGTTCTCGGAAATACTCAAGAGTCAAAGTTTGCTTTTAGAATTAATCCCGGTGTTTTCTGACGTGAAAAGCCTGGATATTTCCTCTGTGGCGGAGGCTTCTATTCCATTGTCACATTTGATTTCCGTCCTTTATTTATTGTTACTTAAACAGAAAATTCAAATTCCAGACCCAAGTTCTCCTGCAGAATTGCTATAGAGCTGTTCAATGTTCACAAAATGAAAAACACGTGAGAGATGCTTTCCACCTCACTGTCCCACCTGCCTGCTGTTGGCAAAGAGAGGACTAAGATGGAAGTGAGTTTAGTGCCTTGAAAGGGGCAAGAAAGCAACAAGATCCAGTGCAAACTTAAGTTACAAGACAGGGTGGATCCTAGGAGCATTCTATGTTCACCACTGTTTTTTCTTTTTAGACTTTATGTCATTTGCTTAGTTATTGTGTTAAAACATTTATACTCTAGTTCTAGAAAAATTCACTTGCACCCTTGTAAGACAGACCATATAGGTGATCTTTCCAATCACCCTCCCTTCTCCCCTCCCCTATGTTCACCACTTTTAATCTTTTGCAGTACTCAATCCACTGACTTCATAGCGGGAATGATTTTGATAATCTCTGATATTGTGTGTTGTGTCTATTCCTTGAAGCTTGAATTAGTATGTTTGATTGAATAAATGACTCATTCATAATTTTAAGGGCACTATCCAAGAGTTAAATCTCAATACCTTTATTTATTTTTGCAACCTGAAATTGGAATCGTCTGCCTATCTGAAAACAACACAAAACAATAAATCATCTGGTCACTACCAGCCATGACGGCCATCAGCATGCTTGAAACTTTGAGTATAAGTAGAAAATGCATTACTGGTTTTGTGATGTATAGTGGATGAATATTATTTGACTCCTTAATAATTCTGGACCATTATTTCATTTATATTTAATTGATTTTAAACATCTAAGTGTTTAACTTGGGATATTATCTTTTGCTAATGTGCTGGATTATCTCTAACATTTTGTCCTAGATATAATATAAGGGACAGGCATTCTGAACTAATAAAGCATCAGTCTACGCTGATTATGGTTAAATGGGACAACTTTCCAGACAATTTTAAATTATTTAAAATTTTGATTTTCCCATAATTGTTTTACCACTGTACAAACAGAAGCACATTACCGTTAATTACACATTTCACTAAATTGAAAATTTTCCTCTCAGGGAACAATTCTGGATGAATGTGTTTTTTGGAAAATGCATAAACTCTTTCTTCATTAAACTCATCAAGTAAACAGAAACTCATAGAAAATACATGTTTAAGAAAGCTTTAAAAATGTCTATTTGGTTTTAAAAACTGATATATCCATGAAATTACATATAATTATATAACAAACAGGTTTTAGAATTTCAGGTGAGGCTGGGCATGGTGGCTCACGCCTGTAATCCTAGCACTCTCGGAGGCCTAGGTGGGTGGATTGAGCTCACAGGTTCAAGACCAGCCTGAGCAAGTGGGAGATAGCATCTCTAAAAGACAGCTGGGCGTTGTGGCAGGACCCTGTAGCCCCAGCTACTTGGGAAGCTGAGACAAGAGAATAGCTTAAGCCCCAGAGTTTGAGGTAGCTGTGAGCTTTGATGCCATGGCATTCTACCGAAGGTGACAAAGTGAGAATCTGTCTCAAAAAAAAAATAGAATTTCAGGTGAAGTGGTAAGCATATAAATAAACTGTAATAGAAGTAATAATCTAAAAAATAAAATAAAATATGTGTACATAAATTTACATATAAAACACTTGATTCTAAATTTAACAATATTCTGAGGTAGCTTTGTTCCAGTCTTTAGAAATTATTAATACATAGTGGTTTCCAAAATATAATGACCAACTTTATGGGTTCCCCATGAACACTTACAGCTTTCTGTGGCTGTAACACTTAGGTTGTACCAGGCGTTGACCTCCCGGTCAAGTGGGTGAGTCGTAATGATTGTGCCATTGTCGTCATCAATGTGGAATAGTTTGCTTCCAGTAAGAGAATACCTGAGCCAAAGAAAAGCATTCCTTTAATGTTATTATCTTCTCTATGTAATGGTGTTACATAACACTCTTTTAAAGCAATAAGATAAATTATTAAACGATACTGTACATATCTAATGTAATGCTGGACAGTTTTTAAAATGGTACCGCATTCATGCATTTAAGAGTCAACTCTAGAACAAATGAGAAAATGAAATTAAAAAATAAATAAATAAATAAAAGAGTCAACTCCATAGAGCTAAGAAAAAAGAATGTTATGATGACTTCATATTGACATTGATGGATTCTAAATCTAAACACGTGTGACTGATTCTTATGTTCAGAAAGGAATTAGAGTAAGTGAACGACTTGCTTAAAAAAATGGCACAAATCCATTTGTGAAATGAAGAAAAGTATGTAGAAATAAGTAGGGGTAAAAACTAATGATTGTGAATCCTTTTTTTTCCTTGAAGAAATATTTATCCTCAACTTAGAGTAGTGATAATCTCTTTCCTATGCTACATGTGCTGCTTGCTAATCTGTGCATTATATTAGTTACTTGACTGTTGATATATTAGATGTTTGTTTTGTTTGTTTAAAGAAAACAATTTGTTATGAAATAAATTCTCTTTATATAGCAAATAGATCTTTAATCTGGAATCTTAAAATTTTCTGGAATCTGGATCAGGAATCTGAAAGATAGTCTACACACATACACATATATTCCAAAAGTAAAGTGGAGTAGATTTGATGTACTGCTAAATGTTAGATTGTGTGTGCAAAGAAGCCCAGTTACAAAATTCCCTCATGCAGAAGTCTGGAAATGATCCCAAACTCCACAATGACAGAAGCCTTTGAAGGGCTCAGCATGTCTTTTCTGCTTGCAAATGATTAACAATAAAAATGAAAGAAGACTAATAACTAAAGTTCAATGATGTCTTTTCGTTGTATATTTATATTTTCCAGAAGACTCTGATGAGGCATGAGTGAGATTTGCCATAATTAGGTGGCAAAGGATGAGAATATTTTAATCTTGAATTAAAAGGTTTCTAAAAATAGTTTACTAATTTGTGGCATGGTGTTCAGAGGATAAGTAAAGAGGAATTACAAAGAATTAAGTTTTAGAAAGGTTCAGTGTTAACTGTACTCAAGACATTTTTGAGCATTTTCCTTAAATAACCAAAGTGACTGCATTTCCCACTTAATCTGTTGCCAAAATTAAATAGTATTTAACAGTTGCTATTTTGTATTAAACATCTAATCTTATTTCTAAAAAATACCATTCTAAATGAAACCAATAAAGTGTTTGATAAGAAGTTTCACTTTCTAAAATTTAATCGGCATCTGTTATTGACAGAAATTAGGAAGAAGAGCCAAAGACGTAAGAAATAGTGTCAGCTGCATTAAAAAACTAAAACGGACAAAGGCCTCTAGGAAGAGTGGATTAGCTGAAAAGCTTAATGAGATATTAGTGGTCATGTGTAACATGTATTACACATATCAACCCCTTTTATAACCACCAATTCTAGTCATTTAAATATTTTCTTCAAAGCCCACTTTCACCAGATTAGATCATCTTGACCTTGACATAAGTTTAGCTAATTAAATGTTACATATATTTATATTTTGACATATAGATATGTACATCTTTAGTATATATTATGAATATATACATGCAGGTATATTTGTAATATATATGAATATATATGTATATTTCCCTTCACTATATTTTTAAAAATTAGGAAATAAACATGACGAAATTCAGAAATAGTAAATGGCTGTGCTATTGATATGCACCATTATCACGTTAGCCAAATTTAAGATGAGTAATTTTCCCACCAATTCAATTAAATATATCAGTGTATTTTGTGTATGTCGAATTATTTTGGACTTACAAAGGTGTTTCAAAGACAGTACAGCATGTTTACATATGCCCTTCACTTAGCTTCTCCCAATGTTCAAATCTTGCATAAAACCATAGAGCTATTACTGTTGCAAAACTAATAAATTAATTTCTGTGATAAATGTGATTAAGTAGACTATAAAGGACATTTGGATTTCACCAGTTGGCCCACTTTTCTGAGGAAAAAGTGTCTCTGGTAAAGAGAAGTCAGAGTGGACAGCAATGAGCAGAACTGATGAAAACATTGCAACATGTAGTCAGATTTTGTGTTGAAATCATCAGCGGACTGTGAGAAGCACAAGGGACTCAGTAAACACTGAGAGAGAAACAGATGGGAAAATCTTAACTGAAAATCTTTGTCGCGAGCTCTTGGCTCTTGCACCACAGCCACGCACTAGCTCACACAGCACTGTGAGGCAGTGTGCAGCCAGGAATACAAACTGTACGGGAACACCCTCCCTACTCACCTCACCTGATCTCGCCTCCAGGGAATTTTTCTTTGCCAAAAGATAAAAGACTTATTGAAGGGAAGACATTTTGAAGACATTCAGGATATATGATGACAGCTTGGATGACCATTCCAGAAAAAGAGCTCTACAGTGTCTTTGATGAGTGGGCCAGGCATTGACCGGCATAGGTGCACAGCTTCCCAAGGGGAGAACCTAGGCGGTCACTGTCGTGATACTCAGAAATGAGTTAGGTGGCACTTTTCCTGGGATGAGTTCATGAACTTAATTGTCACTTACACAGGCAGCTGGAGGTGCTATTGTTTTGTCAAGGATTTTTGTCGTGTGTGTGTGTGTGTGTGTGTGTGTGATACTAGTTTATATTTTTCTTTGCTTTGGTTGAATTTATTAGTCACATCTTTTGTCCTGGGAGTGAATTTTTCATTTTTGAAGATTTTTAACTGAATTTTTAATTAGATATATTTCTTTCTGTGTGTGTGTGTAATGTATGTATGTTTGTATGTATATATGTTTAATAAGATTATTTGTCTTTTTTAATACAAACTTGGATATTTCTGATAATAAATTGGTCTGACTGTATGGGCTTAGCATTGTTAAAAGTAGTCCTTATAATCAATCTTTTTAATTGATTGATCTATGGGATCAACATTTATACTTCCACTTTTATTTATGGCATTTCTGAAAATGGCATTCTTTATTCATTCTCATTCTTTCTCTCTCTTCTTGATCTGTCTGGCTAGAGGTTGATAAATTTTATTAGTGTTTTGAAAAAGCAGCATTTGGTACTTTGGGTTTCATTGTATTTTTCTATTGCTTCTAACACCATTGTGATCTAATCTGTTTTGTCTTCTTTTTTCTGTTTTCTGCTTGCTTTGGGTTTTTATTTGCTCTTTTTTGTTCATTTTTCTTTATAGAAAAGAATACATGATATTTCTTATGCTTATAAAATATTTCAAAATTTGGCATTAGGCTTAGTGAAGGAGGAATCTTTGATAATATCTAAAGGATAAATTAAACCCAGTGATGACAAAAAAGTATAATATTCCTCATACCTGGAGTCAAAATAACATGGCAATGTCTGAGTCAACTTGAGCCACAATAGCTAACTATTGTAGCCTATGTGGCTTGTAGACAGCGGGACACATTTCTCACCATTTGAGAGGCAAGAAGTCCAAGCCCATGAGGCCAGCATGGTTGGTTTGTGACAAGGACCCTCCTAAGGTTGCACACTGCTGACTTCTTGTTATCCACACGGGTAAAGAGGCGCGAGCTCTCTGTGTTCCTTCTGTGAGAGCACTGAGCCCATTCATTTGGGCTCTGCCTTTGAGATTTGATTTCCACCTATAGGACCTGCCTTCTAATACTCCTTAACATTTCAATATATAAAATTTTGAGAGAAACAAATATTGAGTCCTTCGTAGTCATACATAATCTTAGGGATAAAATGCAAATCTTAAAATAAATTCTGTATTAAGTTCTTCATAATTTCCAACATTAATTGTGTTGCAGACGGTCTCGGGGCTCCTTCACCTTCTTCTACACTAGACTCCTTAAAAACAATTCTTTCTTCTCACTTTAAGGTCTAATGCTGCATTCTTTCTTTATTTTGTAGCCCTTTTAAAGAAAACTTTTGCCATGCAGTTTATTATTATAATTTATATCAATGCAGATCTTGCTTTACAAGCTTTTCTGACCTTGGAAGAATATTTTGTTAAACCAGTTTACTTATCTCACCCAAGACTTGCTGACACCTAGCCCGGGAATTTCCATGCTTCCCAGAAACATGTATGGTAGGAAAAACTAGTATGAGTAAAATGAATTGGGGATAATTTACTGCTTATTATGTGTTAGTCTGTGTATCCCCAAACAATGTAACATCCCTAAGGCTAAAATCCAATACTAATGTTTCCTTTGGTTTCCATAGATTTTACCATGGAGTGAGTATTAAGGAAGAGATACTATCAAATGAAAACTCAAATTGAAATCATTTGGCACTTTGTATTCAAACATCTTTAGAATCTTTCCTTTCCAAAGCAAAAAAGCAAAACAAACGAACAAAAAACAACACAGAGAAAATGGAATCCAAGAAGACGGCATCTCCTGAAATGTACTCCTGTGGCTATTTTCATACCCATTCCATTTTGCTGTCATGATATATATTGAATGTTCACTAAATCAAGTTATGACACACGGGAAAAATAGCAACCACCACAGCAAAAATCTTCTGTATCTGCAATAATCCTAAATGTATGAAAAGTAATCTGCTATTTTTTTTTTTTTTTTTTTTGAGACAGAGTTTCACTTTGTTGCCCTCAGTAGAGTGCCGTTGGCGGCATTTTAGCTCACAGCAACCTCAAACTCTTGGGCTCAGATGAACCTCTTGCTTCAGGCTCCTATGTAGCTGGGAGTATAGGCTCCCACCACAACACCTGGCTAGATTATTTTAGAGACAGAGTCTCGTTGTTGCTCAGACTGGTCTCCAACTCCTGAACTCCAGCAATCCACCTGTCTCTGCCTCCCAGAGTGCCAGGAATGCAGGCATGAGCCACTGCACCCGGCCCTCAGAGCATCTTTTTTTAAAAAGTACTTCTAAGTGAAAGATCACCCCTCAAATCATTGAAAAGTCTTTTTTGATAGACATTTACAAGTTAATTCTTTTTTTTTTTTAGCAAAACTTGTTCAACTTTTTTGAATATTTATTTTAATTTTTTATTGAAACACACAGAGAACGTTTTCCTTCCCTCACCCATGAAGAAAGCATATCATTTCTTTTCTCTGTGTTTGAAATAATCCTGAAATAAGCAAAAGTGTATTATAGCCTGAAATATATATATTTTTTTAATAGCACTTTTAGCTTTTGGCTCAATGTCAACTAACTGTATTATATTCAAGAACCCTATCAGTCTCATTACACTTTCTGAAGTTCCTTTGGAATGCTGTGAAATAATGAGTATTTTTACCTTTATATACTTGATTAAAAAGTCACATAAAGAATTCTAAACTTAATTATTTCAGTATAAAAATAAAAATTTTAGCTAAAATATTTTTAGGTTGAAAATTTAATTAGTCAATAGGTATATTGACACTGCAGACCATAGATCCTCCTACTATTTGTTTGCAGCCTGCTTTTTCTAATACATATGTAGTATTTTTTGCATGTACTAGACATAAAATTCTTAATTTTGTAACATGCTTTAAATGTATGCGATTTTTATCTATGCTTCAGGAGAATTATCATTAATCATATTTTCCTTAATTACATCCCTGAGATTAGTCTCCAACACTAGTTCAAGTGATAACATCGACCATATTGAAAGTGCTTTTTAAAAATTCTAAGGTATCTAGTATCTAGTAAGGTAAGTTTTTTTTTTTTTTTTGCAGTTTTTGGCCGGGGCTGGGTTTGAACCTGCCACCTCCGGCATATGGGGCCAGGGCTCTACGCCTTTGAGCCACAGGCACTGTCCTAAAAGGTAAATATTTTTTAAAACAAAATAATTGATTGACTAGGTTACACACATATTTTTGTGTATATACACTTACAAAATTAGTAAATTCACTACTAGTAAGAGCTATACCTATACATTAGAAGGCAGCATTTTATGAATAAGAAGTAAAAAGGATGAGTGAAACATCCTCTGGTACCAAAAATTTAATGGTTCTCTTTTGCTGTATCAGTGATGCTTCCAAAGAGTAAAGCAGTCGCCAGGACGTTAATGAATACCTGGAGGTTTATGTAATTCCAGCACGAGTCGTGGAAATAGGTGAGCAAAGGAAGGCAGCGGAAAGAAAGTTTTATTTTTTTATGTCCAAAGGAGCTATACCTCAACTATTAAAAAAAGAAAGAAATCACAATCTAAAAAGTACCTAAAAATAACAGATTATTTTTAATAGATGAGAAAGGCTCCTTTCATTGTAACACAGGTTTTTTTAAAATCCACTGGCCTTATATTATTTTTACATCATTACATGATATCCTGTAAAGGCTTTCTCAATTTTTGAATATCATTTCAATTAAAAATTTTCATTTAAATAATGAGCCACATTTTGATTTACCCTGTTTTAACTCTCCTGGAGGTTAAAAAAAAAGGGTTCTTTTCCCTTGCCTCCTTCATTCAATGAAAAGAGCATCAATTGTATCGATTGTAGTTCACGGTTTCCTATTTTTTGCACTTGTTTGCGATCATCTGTTTTCACTTCATCTTAACTAACATTAAAGCAAATCCTGTTTATTTAAAGTTACAAATTCATTAAGCATCATCTAGGAAAAGGTAGATAAGATGTAGCCTTGTTTGAATTTGCGTGCGGTTTTATCTTAAGTGTAACCTGTTTATTCATGTGAAGCTGACCTGACAGACATACCTGATGGGAGATTTCCTGTGATCTGGGTCAGCGGCAGACACCATGCCTACAAATGATCCATGGGGGTTTTCTTCAAAAATTTCAAATACGTAGTATGGAAGGAGGAAAATGGGAGGTTCATCCTCATCTTCCACCTGGACCTTAATGAAGGTGGTGGAGGCTTTGGTGTGGAATTTCATAAACTGCTCATCGACATGGCGGTTTTTAACTTGGGCTCTAATACCATAGTTGTTCTGCTGCTCAAAATCCACATTCTACAGAGAAACACAAAGAATAAAAGGCATTAGTAGCCCAGGGTCTTCCTGGGGGAAAAGTAAAGTTCACTTGATAAATGAGGCCTCAGTTACCTGTCAGCTACTCCTTCCTTTTTCTATACACACATTTCTCTTCCTTAATTATTAATTTGGCATAAACATCTATATTTTGTTATTTATATCTGCTATAAAATGTTTTATAGCAATGGTATTTTCATGTAAGATTAAGATTGTATTTTTCTAGGCATAAATATCTTATGGGATTGAGAATTAATATGCTCACATTTAAGAATTTAAAAATTTTTTTTGCCCTTTATTTGATTTTTAAAAATTGTTTCATATATAGTTCAAGAAGCTCGATAACTCATCTCAAAACCTTTTCTCCTTAAATCATAAATTACAGGCTTTTGGTTCAATGACTTAATGAAGCAAAAATCTAATCAGTTCCCTAAATCATTATATGTATTTTTGACTTGATTTCACACTCTTCTGCAAAGCAAATAATCTTAGTATGCCTACCTTTTTCAATATGACTATTCCTTCTTGGGTCTCGTTATTAGTAATGATGTCGAATGTTTGCGAATCATCCTCTTCAATGCTGTAATCCATTTCTGCATTCTCTCCTGTGTCATCATCATGTGCTGTGATTCTGCCTATAGAAGTGCCCGTGGGTGCGGATTCAGAGACAGTCAGGCGGTACAAGCCTTTAAAAACAAAATTCAGGATAACTCAAATACATACTTAACGTGAAACTCCAGAAACTCCTAATTATAGCATCCTTTATATGCATACTAGCCATTCCCAGTTACTTGTCCTAAATGTCAATCTCCAACTCTCTCTCTCTGTAAGTATACATGTATGTGTTTATATCTGTGTATATGTATATGTATGTGTATGTACACACACACATATGTACACAGAGGAAGTCAAAAAAAAGGTGCACTGACATTTTTTAAGAACAGAAAAGAACTGTATTAAAATTGTCACATTCAAATCACCTTTGACTTCTGCAATTACAAGAGATACGAGGTAAAAGATACAAGAGAACAAATGTTACGTGTATATACCGAGTAGTACAATTTTAGCACAGTTTTTCTTTCTTAAGATGAGTGTACATTTTTTGGCACCCTCTGTGTCTATCCTCTCATGGTCTATTTTAAAATCTGAACATTTTCCCACTTTGGTATTTACACTTTCATCATTACCTCTCAAATACTTCTTAGGCAGGCCTCTTACCAGTACGTATTACTCCAAATTTCTATTCATCTATACACCATCTAAGTAATTATGGTTTGTATTTATTGTGTCCTTCAACCATCTTGAATCAAGTTTGATGAAAATACTTTTTCAATTTTCCTCAAACATTCCTTGATGACTGAAGTTACCAATAAATGTAAGCACAACTTAAAAGGGGGAGAAACCAAAGGCATGGTAAAGTTCTAAGCATAACTTTGAGATTCTGAGCCTGAATCCCATTAGCCATTAAGGAAATGCACAAGTAGATCCAAGAGTTGGTAATTGGATGCAGCAGAAAAACAGTATTGGAGTCAAAGATGGTCCAAGTGGTTGGGCCCTAAGAAAAGAATCGCAAACATATTTGAAATACATAGATATAACTATAAATTACTGAGCTTTGTTTCTTTACTTTCCAGGATTAACTTACATAAAACTGATAAGGAATTACTCTGTTAGAATTATTTTAATTTAAAACTAAATTTTGTTTACCATGTGTGTCAAAGTGTAGAAAATAATCATACATGTCAATATTCTAAAGAAAGAAACTTCTTAGAATTAAAAGGAAGGAGCACATATAATAGAATTTTTATTCAAAAAGATTCTTGATCCCTTAGAAGCATTAAGCAAGTCACTTCAGAGATTGCAAAGGGAAAATGAAAATAATTGTTTACTTTATTACACAAAAGCTAATGCTTTAGACTTAAAGGTGATATTGAGTTTATATTAAACAATTGACCTTCAAAATTACAGACAAGCAAAACATTTCCCTTGTTCAACACTTAATCTATTAATCTATGCAATTTTCCATACATTCAAAATCATTTTTGACAACAAAATTTTCACAAGGCCCTACTCTAGAGGATGGGTATATAACAGGAAACAAGACACAGAAAAATTTTACCATTAGCTTATACATTCAAAGCTAAATAAGCAGATAGTAAATAAAATACTAGTAAGTACTGAGATTATGTTGTGTTGGAATGGTTTAAAAATTTTGATAAAGTGGAAAGTATTGGCTGTGGCTATGACTTTTGAATAAGTGTTGAAATAAATGAATGAATATATGGGAAAATAGAATTTCAGGGAAAGGAAAAGACTGAGATTCTTGAGTGTTCTGGGAAGACAGAGGTCGATTGCCTTTATGGTCCTTTCAGTAAACAGAAGGTAGAATAGAAATAGATGAGATTTCAGAGGTCATGAGACAGGACAGGAGGATGGAGATAAGGTTCATGCTATACCGAGTATTTAGACTTTTTCTGTGAGAAGGAAAGGAAGATATTGAAGTGGTCAGAGCTGACCTATATTTTAACAAGATTACTAAAGCTGTGTGGAAAGTAGACTAAACGAAAACAATGGTGGAAGCAGAGAGAAGAGATGAGCGCCTTTCATAATGGAGACAAAATAAGATGGCGGCATGATCCAAGGCAGTAGTAATGAAGTTATTTTAAAATGTTCAGAATTTAGATTTTTTTTAAAGTATTTTATTGTTGTTGCTGCAGTTTGTCTGGGACCGAATTTGAACCCACCACCCTCAGTATATGGGGCCAGCACCCTACTCACTGAGCCACAGGTGCCACCCCCAGGATTTAGATTTTATTTTAATTTTAACTTTACTTTGATTGATATATAATAATTGGACATATACATTAATGGGGAGCATAGTGATGTTTCAATGAATAAAAGGTAAAGGGACCAGAGCAGTATAATTAGTGTGTCCAACTCCAAATTTCAAATATGTAACCTTTCTTTGTGTAAGAAACATTTAATATCTTTTAAAAGTACAGATGACAGGATCTGCAGATAAATGAATTTTGAATTTAGGAAAAAGATAAGTGGAAAGATGGCTTTTACTATTTGAACAAAATAATTTTCTTCTATAAGGAAGGGTGTGTGTGTTTGCATTTGTGTGTGTATGTCTGTGTATTTGCTCACAGAACATTGAAAGTTAGGCATTATTAGGAATTCTGCAGCACAGATTATCAACCTAGCTTAGGTGTCAAATTAGAATTGACTTGGATGTTGTTGGGACAATCAAAATTGGACCATTAATTCTTCTCACACAGAAGTGTTCTGACTGAATAAGTGAGGTTTGGGCTTGAGTGATATGAAACCTGGATTTGTGGGTAGCTGAGGGTGGGAAAACCTGAGGAAGAGACAGTTTCAAGAAGGAGGTAGGCAGTATCAAGGGCTTAATTTACTGTATGTTCGGTTTTAAATGTGAATCACAAGTATAAATGAAGATTCTGAGCCTAAAACTGGATTTACACCAATTGTAGGGCATGAAGTGCCTCCCACAACAGAAGTATATGTATTGAATATTGAAACTGAGGGAGACAGTGAGCGTTCATAAGAGAAAGCAGTATGAACCAGAGCACAGAGGCCAGTGTCATGTTCACCCAAGCTCAATGTGACTGAAAGCAGTTACATCATCATCTCACTCATGGACCAACTAAGAGGATTTTAGAAAATATTTTGAATGTTCTAATTTATTCAAAAAAATATTAAAGTTGGGGGAAAGCAGAAGAAACTAAGAAAAGTAGTGGAAGCTGCAAGATATATTGAATCAATAACTTTTCCTGGGAATTCTCCCTCTGTCTTCCAGTCTTGTCCTGGTCACTTCATCATCATCTGCATAAAAGTTGGAGATTATCCCACTTTATCCTGCTATATAGTCTAGCCCAAGCTAATTACATGAGTTCTTGAAAGTGGAAGAATTGTCAAGTTGCTGCTTAGAGAGATGTCACCATTAGAACTATCTAACACTCTTTGCTGTGTCTGAGGTAGGTTAGCTAAGCCAGGAAGAGCACAGAGGACTCTAGGATTTAAGGACACCCTCTAGTCTATACCATCAGGAAAATAAGAGAATTCAATTTTGCAAACATAAAGAACTGAATTCTGCCAATCCTTAAATGGGAAGGAAAACGGCTCATCCTTTAGGTCCTACAACAAGAAACACAACCCTGAAGGTATCTTGATCATAGTCTGATGAAGCGCATACCAAACTTCTTTAACGTAATAAATTTGTATCGGACCATGAAGTTCATGGCAATGTATTTAGGAAACAATAGAAAATGAACACATTACACTTTCATTTGTATTTGAAATTTAATGCTAATGAAATTAACCACAATTTAGAAAAATTAATAAATTTGTATAATTCTAAGTTTAGCACAGTGCTTTTAGAATGCAAACTCTATTCCATGGTATACATATACCACAGTTTGTTAAACCATTCATGCGTTGATGGGCATTTGGGTTGCTTCTACAACTTGGAAATTATGAATTGGGCTGCAATAAACATTCTGGTGCAAATGTCCTTTTTGTAAAATGATTTATGTTCTTCTGGGTAGGTACCTAGTAATGGAATTGCAGGATCAAATGGTAGGTCAGCTTTTAGTTCCTTGAGAATTCTTGATACTTCTTTCCAGAAAGACTATATTAGTTTGCAATCCCACCAGCAGTGTAGAATATTCCCTTCTCTCCACATCCACTCCAATATATGTGTACCTTGGAATACTATGCATCCATAAAAAATGGAGACTTTACATCTTTTATGTTTAGCTCGATGGAGCTGGACTATATTCTTCTTAGTAAAGTATCTCAAGCATGGAGGAAAAAAGTATCCAATGTACTCAATACTATTATGAAACCAATATATAATCACATCTTCATATGAATGATAAAACACAAATGTAATCTATAAAGACCGAGGAGAGAGTAGGGAGAGGGGAGGGGAGGGCTAAGGGCTAGTGAAGAAAAGGGTATTTGACGGGATCTCATCCAATGTGTAAAATGTGAGGATGTATTTCAAAACAACTAAGTATATTATAAATGTCTTACCACAAAAAGTAAGTAAGTGAGGTGATGGTTATGTTAATCAGTTTGATTTAAGCATTCCACATTATACATAAAATTATTAGATTGTACCCCATAAATGTATACAGTTATAATTGAATAAATAAATATTAAATTAAAAATTAGATTAAATTAAATTAATGATGTCAAAAATATGTTGAATAAACTTAAAAAAATAGAATACAAACTCTAACATTGGCTTGTATTTTAACACACAGATATTTACTTTATAGTGAAGATTCAGGATGCTTTTTACTTACTTTCTTTAAATATAGGCTTATTGTCATTAACATCTGAAAGTTTAATTAATACACTTGTTGTTCCAGACAGTGCTCCAGGCTGACCAATCATGTCTTTGGCTTGAACAATTACCCAATACTCGTCTTGCAGTTCTCTATCCATTTTAGAAGATATTCTTATAACTCCTTTAAAAATGAAATAAAATTCCAGTTATTATTTTATTATTAACCAAGACATTGTCTTATTTATTTTCTTAAGCATTTTACCATAACAATAACTATTTTGATGTATGTTGAATGACAACAATGTGTCAGATGCTCCCTGATGAAAAATAATAATAATTTAAATACCAACTCTGACAAGAGTCTAGATTGATCAACACGATACTAGGGACACTGGTAGACTCTTAATATAATACCACATGAAGATGATTCACATGTAGAAATGTGTATTTCTTATTTATTTATTTTTTTTTGGTAGAGACAGAGTCTCACTTTATCACTCTTGGTAGAGTGCTGTGGTGTCACACAGCTCATGGCAACCTCAAACTGTTGGGTTTAAGTGATTCTTTTGCCTCAGCCCCCAAGCAGCTGGGACTACAGGTGCCAGCCACAACGCCCAGCTATTTTTTTGTTGTTATTGTTGTTGTTGCAGTATGGCTGGGACTGGGTTTGAACCCACCACCTTCAGTATATGGGGCCAGGGCCCTACTCACTGAGCCATAGGAGCCACCCTGTATTTCATATTTTTACCCAAACCTATTTTCTGCTATTTTTCTCTAACACAGTATTGGTGTGTTCCATTAACTTTGATTCCAAACTCTGAATTCAGTTCATTATTCTTAACTGTGTAAATATTACAAAACCAGAATACCAGATTGAGGCAAAACAAACAAAACAAAAACCAAACTTGTGCCCTTCTGACATTAAACTTTAGTTAAAGTTATGAGACTAAAGAAGGTGTGATTGTTGGCCCACAATTATTGATAATATAAATAGATATATGTAATATATGCATATATGGAAAGAAATACATTCAAACTCAAAGTAGTACATGATAAATGTTATAATAAATGACCACCTCCTGCAAAATTGTTTAGTAAATGTTAATCATTACTGAAAAGAAAAATTCAGAACAGGATCATAGGAGATAGCCAAACAATTCTAAGATTTTGGGAACAGTTAAATACCAATATAAGGAAAAGAATTAGACAAATGGCAAAAACAAAAATGAAAACAAAAAAAAATATGCTCACCATCACTATTTATCAGGGAAATGTAAATTAAAACTACAAAGAGATAATACTTTACTCTGTTTGATTCTAAAAAATCAATATCTACTGTTGTTTTAGTAAAAAAAAAATAAAAGAGAGAGAGAGAGAGAGATTAGCACTTATGTATTGAAAAGGTAATGCTTATACTCCATTGATGGCAATGTAATCTAGTACATCACTGTGGGAAATTGTGTGGAGAATCCAGAAAGAAGTAAACATAGACCTATCATTTGACTCAGCAAATGCACTGTTGGGTATTTAACCAAAGGACATCTACACATAAGTGTTTATAGTGGCACAATTCATAATTGTAAATACAGTAGGATGTCCAGAGTTGATCACCTCCCTATGTTAACCACCTCCTAAAGTTGACCTAATTTTCTTATACCAGACATACATCACAGGTACTGAGGCCTAGCTCCTTATGTTGGCCACCTCTATTTATTACAGTCCCTTGGGTAGTCAACATATAGAAGTTCTACTGCATACGGAATCAACCTAAGTGCCCATCAACTGATGCGAGGATAAAGAAAATGTGGTAGCTATATTCTATCAAGTACTATTTGACCACGAAAAGGAATGAAATAATATATATTTCAGCCACAAGAATAGTGCTAGAGGCCATTATCCTAAGTGAAGTATCTCAGGAGTAGAAAATCAAACACACATTCTCATTTATAAGTGGGAGCTAAATAAGGGATATGTAGAGTCATGAAGTGATATAATTGACATTGAAAACTAAGAGAAGGGGATAGTGGGGAAGCTGAGAGGTAAGAAACGACCAACTGAGTGCAAAGTACACTATTCTAGACACACTCAAAGTCCTGACTTTGGCATTATACAATTCATCCATGTAACAAAAACACTCGTACCTCCTAAATATATTGAAATAAAACAAAAAGGCAATTCTCAAATGTATCCAAGGCAAAGCATTCATTTAAAAAGTTGTATTACTTTTTAAAAAAGAGATAAATGGGACCTAAAAAATGAAGGAAATTTAAATATATATATGAAGAAATGCAGAAAATTTATATATATATATATATATATGTATATATCACTAATGTAATCACTTACATGACTACATGACGCAGAGCCAAAACCATTGACTATGTTGACTAGATGCAGCTAGCATCTTCTCCAGTGTGACTCACCGGAGCATTGTGTTTCATATTGGCAAAGAGAATAGTATTGGAGCTTTTGGTAATCTATGCTCAAAGCCATGCAGATTAGTCAAGCAGTGGGTAAGAGAAACATAAGGGCCTTTAGTTCCTCTTACCAGGCCTTCAGTTAATTATGTTTACTTTATTTTCAAATTTTTTTCTCAGTCTTCATACTGAACAAAGGATATATTTATATTCCAAGATACTCTTATATACCCCAAAACTTAGACTTCAGTGTTTGGACCCACATTTGTCTTGCTGTTTATTCTAACTCCTTCATCAGTAAATGAGTAGTTTTACCACACTGGCCCAATAGATTTAAGAAACCAGTGTGCAAGGCGGGGGCAGTAAAGACCAGGAAGACAGCCCTTAACACGGTCACAAAGGTCCAGTGCGATCTTTCCACACTCTGTTTCTACTTTTGTTTTTCTTCTCCACACTTGCTTCTGGCAGGTCTTCTAAGAGTTCCAACTCTTTCTCTTCTCAGTTATTTACCCACATTCTTCCCATGACCTGGCACACTCTTCCCCTCTCTCTTCCCTTTGGCCATCCGCTCAGCTCAGCATTCCGGTTTCCATGTACTCTGTCTTGACCACCAAATCTAAGGTTGTTCTCACTTTTTCCCACTTATTGGAACTCGTGTTTTCACTTCATAATTAACTACAAGTTGGATGGATTTATATTAATATTCACATGTTTAGCATTTAAGTTCTGAGAGGAGTCTCTCTTTATGTCTTAGGTTGTTACTGTATTAAATGCTGCAGCGTCCCACCTCTACAGCGCAGTATTTGTATAATGCCAGATGCATATTCAGCCTTTTGTCACCTAGGACCATGTGAGAGGATAGAAGCCTAAGGTCTTAGGGCATTCACTGCATGTAATAAAATCACTTCTCTCCTGTGCATCCTGATTAATAAAAAACTATATACCATCATTGGGAGACTTAAGAACATGGTCACTCATATCACATTTCTCACAGTCTAATTCTCACAAGAAAGCTTAATTGAAAAATACTGAGCCATTTAATATTTGATCAATGCATGAGTAAATAAGAAGCGTTTAAAGGTCAAGCAGAAAGCTTTGATTCTTTAAAGTTCTTCTTATAATCAGCTGGAAATAACATTTTCCTTTTGCTACAAATGATAAAATTTTACCTTTTTGGCACTTGCCACTCCCTGGGTAATTAGTTATATACTTTTTCTTTTCATCTTTAGAGACTATAAGCTCCTCAAGGAATACTCATTTGGGCTTAGTCTTTGTTGTGAACATAACAGTTAACATTGGCTAAATAAATCAGTATCATATAATTATGTATTCAATAGTTATGTTTAAAAGAAAAATCTGTGTTTTATTTATTTTATAAAGTGTTCAACTGATTAAAGTAAATTGGTGAAAAAATTGTAGAAAAATAATCAAATATAGTATTAATCTAAATCAAAAAAAGCGTAAAACACAGAAATTTTTATTTTCATGTGAATGCTTCACACCATGCATGTGCTCAGCCTTAGACTCACACTTGGTCTCATTCTGGGTATAGCTCTTATGATTTTATTTTATTTCTTGATAAGTAACGAGGCTGAGCATTTTTTTTTTATTAAATGATAGCTGTGTACATTAATGCAATCATGGGGTCCAGTGTGGCGTTTTCAAATGCAATTTGAAATATTTTCATCAAACTGGTTAACATAACCTTTATGTCATTTTCTTATTGTGGAGGGAGGGCGATTAGAGGGCTCACCTCTGTGGTTTATTTTACAAAGGTACAAGTGAATCTTTCTAAGAGTGGAATCTAAACGTCTTAACACAATAACTAAGAGGCTGAGCATTTTTAATACACTTGGAGGCTTTTTATATATAACCTTTTGTCAATTGCTATTAAATATCCTTTTCCCATAATTTTAAATTAGGATATTTGTCTTTTGTTTTTTTCTAATTGGTTCATAAAATTTTCACACGTTTTATAAACCCATAAGCAAGTCATTTGTGATATGGATAAGGAAAATCCAATCTCCCAACCTTAGAAAATCAGCTAAAGGGCTAAAAGACTAAAACTAATTAAATGCTTACAAATTACACCCATTTATTTATTGAAACATCAGGCCTACTGTAAAACATGTTTCTAGCAGATATTTTTGCTGGCACTTGAGTACTTCAGAATCATGAAAATAGCACTGTATTTTACTCACAAATACCTGTTGTTGGTTCAATAGAAAAATATGGTTGGCCTTGTAGTAAGCTGTACAGGAGACGAGCGTGATTGCCACTTGAAGGATCATCAGCATCCCTTGCGGTCACCTGGATGACTAACGTTCCTGAACAGGACATACACAGTAGCCGGACATGAGACAGTGATTTGTTGAAGTACAAATTCCATTCTCAAAAGCATTCTTTCTTTAGCAAGAAAACTGATATTATAAAACTTCCTGCTTATTCATAATTGTAAAAGTAATATATTTTTGTATAGGCAAAAGAATATAATCTAATACAAAATATCCTTCATTCCCTATGTTGAATTTTAATCCCTATTAAACTATTGATTATAATCTGTAATCTGTAAATTCATAAGCTTTCTAAGGTGTGTAGTGGAGGAATTAAAAATAACTTGGAAATGTTTTTCATCAACAAATAATGGGATGTTGATAAATATTTATTCATAAAGATTATTGAAATGAGCTTGAAAGAGCTGAGGATGGTGAAATATTGGGCTTGTTCAATTCCTTTCTATAATATACCTACTTGTCTGGAAGAAGAAAAAGAAACAAAAACAAATCTTGCAGATATTGAAATGGTAAGCATTTTCATTGAATTTTGTAATCACTGAGAAAATCATGTGATATAATTATTTGTAAAAATGTTTATGGAAAAATACTGTGCTTTTTAATTAGCTTTTGGTAAACATGGAATTGGGCATTATGGATCCTGTGGAGATCTTGTATTCTTTGAAACTCTGTCTTGTGTTGATGAGAATGCAACACAAATGGCACAAAATCAAACAGCTTCTGGTTTTCTTTTCAGTAGTGTCATGAATTTTTCCTTTACAATTCAATTTCATAAGCTGAGCCCCTCTAATAGACAGCCCTTCTATACTCTACCAATTGTTGAAATTTTCACTGCTTCCTTCAATATTGTGCCTTCTTTGATGTTTGGCCTTAGCATTTTTATGATATAACTGACATGAAGGCTTGTTATTTGTAAGAGATTCAATTTGTACATTTCCCTATGGTCAGGAATTGGTAGGATGGTCCACACAAAATTCAAAAAATTACTGTAAGACCGATAAACTGTCTTTCACTGGAAATGCACAAGTGTCTGGCAGCCCGTTTTCTTACATCACCAGTTATATGTATATAACAGTCACTTGGGGATTGAGACTGTCAGGTGTTTAATTCCTATACTAATTTGTCTAAGAACATCTGTAACCTTTTATATTTGCTAGTAACATCTGAGGTGTGTCATGCTTGAGTCATAACAAATATAAGTATCACCACAATAGACCTTTCGCGTATAAGAGGCTTCCCATGCTTATGTAATCGCTTCTTTTTTAAATCATAGTTATCGTTAACTTCAAAATCACTTCCGAGAAGTTCTTGAAAAATTGTGGTTCCCCCTTCCTCATCATCCTGTTCCCTAATAGGCCAGTCATCACCACGAATTGTAACTGTGTTCTAAAATATTATGGCTGCAATTCTACATAAGAACCATTGTTTGTACAGGCTCATCACCGCATCCTTGTGAATCTGTCTTCAATGGTTTATATCTTTAAACAATTCTGCATATTTCAAATAAAGAAGAAAATGAAACAATCACGTTAGGCAGGTAAAGCATATCTGAAAAAAGTCAACTTCTATTTGTAAAAGCACTTTTAGAAAATCGGGACTAAAAGGCAACTTTCTAAATGGAATAAAGGACATTTTAAAACTTCAGTGTAATCATATTTAATTGCTAAAACTCCTCCTCTGAAATAAAGAAAAAGAATGTTTCCTGTCACTGCTATTCTTTCATCACTGCACTTAACCTCCTAGACAATGCAATGAGCCAATAACATGTACTTACAAAGAAATAACGGATATTAGAACAGAATAAATGAGACTCTAATTATTTAGAGACAAGAACACGTTTGCTAGAAAATCAAAAAATTTACACATACTTTACAAAAAGTATTAAATTAAGAAAATTAACAAAGCAACAGGAACACAAGTAATATACAAAAATCCATTTGTTACAGCAAATATATATATTGTGAAAAATGTTTAAGGTATAATATATAGGAAGTATACTTTATATTAAGGTATAATATAAAGTAAGTACAATATCCATGGATACCTAACCAAAGTATTATTGACCTCTGCAATAGAACTAAAGAAAAATTAGTAATACTAAAATGCAATCATGGGCAAAAATACTAGATTTATGAATTAGATGAATAAATACTTATAAGTGACAAATAGATCCACAGTTTAAGTGCAGTTCCAAACAAAATACAGCAGACTGTCTGCATGTTTAAGTTGAAAATATAATTAAAATAATTAAATTTGTAAGGAAAGGCAAAAGACCAAGCATAGCCCAGGAATGAATCAGGACACTGATAGGACTTCCACAAATAAGGAGCAAAGTCTTATAATAAAACTACAGCAATCAAGAAAATAATATTGGATCTGGACCAACTCATGGGTGGTAGAACTAACTAGAGAGTCACAGTTTCATTAACGTGAAGAGCTCCTCGATTATACAAAGGCAGTCAAGTGGATCTTTGGGGAAAGTTTTCAATAAATTCTGCAGGCCACTTGGATATCTCCATCTGCATATTAATCCATCTGCATAACATCTATCTGTTGATTTATAGTTTGGTGCCGACTTTATATTATTCATAAAGATCAATTTAAAAGTGATTGCAAGGGATGCAAAAACAGAATAAAAAGAAAAATAAGAATACAAGAATCAGAATAATCAAACTTGTAGGGAAACTAGGGAAAAAAGGAAACATTTCTTAATCAGGGTATACACATGCATATAATATTCATGTGAAATATATATTTATTTCTGGTAAATTTTATATTTATTTCAACTCACAAATCTCTGTGTCTATTCATTTTATATATTTATTTGTTATTATCTTCCAGCATATTTTAGTCACATTTACTCTACTGAAATGGCTTTCACTAGGGCAGCAGAGCTAAGGGGACATGACTTAGGAAGAGCGTGAAGCACGGCGCCATGTGCCACGTATAAGGTCTCGCCTGGTGAGCCTCTCTGCTGTCATTGATCAACATTTCATTCTGGTATCATTAAGGCTTACAAAGTTGATTTTACTACGTGAATGAATCAAAAATTAAATTCTTTAAATTATATTGCAAATAAAGTAATGTGTAAAAGAAGATATCATAGATCAAATTACAACATATTAATTAAATTATTCATATAAAATATTTGAACATTAAATATATTATCAGAAGGATATTCTTCATACTATTATTCAGTTTCTTAGTTTGCCTTTGTTTTATCATCCATTGCCCTGAGTTTCCACTGTCCTTATCCACTGCTTAAAATAAGACTTCTGTTTATTGCTCTTACGTTTTACACAGTGATGCCCACATCAAGCATAAAGCTTATGTTTACCAAATTCATTCTGGCTCATTTTAACATAATTATTAATAGTAATTTTTAAAATAGAAAACCTAGGATAAATGATTCCAGGACAAAATGCCAGAAAAACAGAAGTAAAGCAGGACTGTCCTGAGTAACACTGCAGATCTGATCACTCCATGTTAGAACAACTGTAACGGTGTGAAGTGATCACTGGGATAAAATAAAGGGGAATGAAAATAATCCAGAGAGAAATAGACATACATTGAATTGCCACACCCTTAATAATTTGTTATTCCACCTTAAAACATCATCAATTAGAATCGGATTCCCAATCCGCACGGCAACTCTTAAAAGTTTAAATCATCTAGATTCTTGAAAAAATTAGGGAGGAATGCAAACAGCAAGTGAGAAAATCTTTCCTTTGGGGACTAAGGGTCCAAAGAAGAATGTTTCTCTCGGAGTGGAGTCGCTGTAACTGGATTAAGGATGGCAGAGCTATTTGGAAATGCAAAGAACCAAATTTAACGAAATCTTGTAGCCGAAATAAAGATCCTCCTACATCAGTTTGCATTTGTCATTTTAAGTGAACAAAATGTACATGGAAAAAAATGGGAGAAGCCTATTGTAGTAAGAGTAATGTGTCAGTTTAATATTTACTCTAATAATATTTACTCTAATAATACACATGCCAGTATAATACCTAATATAATTCTCTTATTGTTACATAGATAGTTGATGTCATTTTCATGTATCATTGTGGGGAGAAGTTTTGTAACAAACATATAATGTTAGTTCTGTCTAACTAGCTGACTTCTGAATTTTTTTTTTACATTAATGCATGTATGGGGTACAGTGTGCTGATTTCATATACAATTTGGAATGCCTACATCATACTGGTTAATATATCCCTCACCTCATTTACTTAATTATTGTGTTAAGACATTTATACTCTATACTTAATAGGTCTGACATGCACCCTGGCAATATGCACCATAGGTGTGATCCCACTATTAACCCTCCCTCCATCTGACCTCTCCCCTCCCCTCCCACCTTCCCTCCTTCATCCTGGGCCATCATTGTGATCTATTCTTCATATGAAAATGTGAGTGATTGTAAATTGGTTTCATAATAGTACTGAGTACGTTGGATGCTTTTTCCTCCATTCTTGAATCTTGACAACTTTCTATTTCAAAAGGTCTTTCATGAAAATAAGTTTAACCTAATATTTGACTTTGCCCACTGTATCAGATACACTGCAGAAACTTATCACTATGTAGATGACATAAGATGTAAACTTTCATTTGAAAGTTATTGAGGGGAATATGGTAGGTTAGTAATCTCTGGAAATTGCATGGGCTGATATCATTTTCATTTGTTCTGACATAGAAAAACTTGATGACGAGGGTACATTTATATAATATAAAATATTTATTATGCATGTGAAATTACATGTAAATTACAAATTCTATTGCAGTGTTTAAAAGCCTAAACTCTATAAAACTAAATAAAATATTTGAAGACTGAAATCATTAATGTCAGCATCAATACCATAATTTCAGACACATCAGAACTCTTCTACCGTCACTGAGTAAAACCTGATGTAAGAATAGTAGTATAGCTGGGCATGGTGGCTCACGCCTGTAATCCTAGCACTCTGGGAGGCCGAGGAAGATGTGTTGCCTAAGCTTAGGTGTTCAAGACCAGCCTGAGCAAGAGTGAGACTCTA